ACCTTTTGCCTCCCAAATAGTTTTTTTTTCCCCCAACATTTACTTCTTAAAGTCTTTAAACTAAGGAGAGAAAAGAAAAATTAAACCACTTGCCTTTAAAACAAGGCAGATTGGGACAGGCTGCCCAGGGAAGTGGTTGAGTCACCCTCCCTGGAGGTATTTAAAAGACGTGTAGATGAGGCGCTTAGGGACATGGTTTAGTGGGCATGGTGGTGTTGGGTTGACAGTTGGACTCGATGATCTTAGAGGTCTTTTCCAACCTTAATGATTCTATGATTCTATGATTCTATGATATATATCTCCAAATGGCATATTGCAAAGGAAAGGTCTCTTTCCTTTGCTCTAACTGCGGAATTTTTTCTGTTTGGAAAAGTTCTAGTAGAAGGTCCTAAAATTTTAAGGGTAGAAAGATTCAAGTCCCAGTGCTCAGAAATATTCTCTGCCACTGTTTAATTTACTAGCATAGACACAGTCTCTGACTCTGATGAAGTAAGTGATAATGTGCTGCCAGACACATTTCTTCAGTTAATAGTCATACCTTAAATACTTAGAGAGCTTTATATATTATTGTTCAAGTGACCTTCTTGGACAGTGCATAAGCCAGATCACTTTTCACATGAGAAAGTGTTAGGAAGATTTTATTATTGTATAATGATGTAAGTATGTAATTGCAATTAAATTTTATAAAAGAAGTTTGTAATCTCAAACGTTCATGAGACACCTGACACGGTACACTAGAGCTGAATATTCCCTCATGCAGACTCACATTATTAGACGGGGAAGTATATATTATATCAAACATGATGGCAGGGACCAATATTTGGACTGTAAAGGAAAGTACTTTCAATAATAATGTCCCTTGCACCTTTTGATGGGGTTGAAGGTAGAAACTCTTTGTGAAAATTCAAGAAAGCCCTGCCTATTACTTGGCAGATTTTATAGCAACCTCTGCAAGTCCCCTTTCCTCATTTTTACTATTTTTATTTCTTTTGGAAGAACATAAATATCTAGCAACTCATGATATTCAGACCAAACCAGTGTCTCATAGAATAAGTATTGGTTTTGGATAACACAGTTTTGCTGCCTGTTTGACTATCATCCCAATATTTGTCTATATCTGTAGTCCCGTTCTTGCAGGATCTGTTGAAGTTACTGAAGTCTGCAATGATCTAAGGAGGTAACTTATAATACTTTCTCTCAAGATCTGTTGTTTTGTTTTGGTTTAGATCACTATTGAGGTCTTGGTCTGACATCAGTCATAAAAAATATGAAAGTAATATTCACATTAGTTCTGGGTAAAAATAAATATCTATATATGGCTTTGAAAACTCCTCACAAAACAGGGGACAAATTGAACTTTTAAAAAAAAAAGACTTCCTACAAATTTTGCTAGAAAAGAGGACAGAACCTCCTGAGAAATCTTTTTTTCCTTCAGTTTCATATTTGTATTACTATCTGTAAGTGGACTCTTTTCTTTAGTAATGTTACATTCCAACTAAACAAATTATAAACTAGAAGTTCTTCTCTAACGCAGGATTAAAACAATTAATGGAAAAGACACCACCACAATTCTACAACTTCTTATGAAGTACAACTTTGCACTGTTAAGCATCTGCTTGTCCCAGGACTGCCGCAGCTCTGACATATGTAAACCAAGTTTTCCCCTACAGCCTGAATGTTGGTTTGCAAATAGAATCATAGAATCATAGAATAACTTCTGGCGATCTCACTGTTAAAATTGCTCTCAGAATATCCAGTTATTAACAAAGAGCATTTTAATTTTTAGCAGTCCAGATTTAAAAACAACAGTGGTATCGATGATTTTTTGCTTGTGATTTTTCCTTCTTCATCCAACAGTATAAATGTATAGTTGGAATACAGGCCAAGTTTTACCTCTTTTTTTTTTTAATATCCAAGTTACTTTTTCATATCAAAAATACATATTATTTTACCTACCAGGGAATTTTCTTAGTCCCTCACTTTGTAAAAGCTAAATATATAGCGAATTGAACTGGTTTTTATGATTCAGTATAACACGTGACTAGGATATTGCTAAAATCTTTGCAGTATAGCAGACTAGCTAACTCTTTGTCTAACAAGGTCTTTGCAGAAGGATGTGAAAAGTAGAGATCATTTATAGCAATACATTCATCAGACATGGCTGGTGGCAGCTATTTAAACAACAGTGTGGCAGCAAGTCAATCTTCCTTCCATCACATAAGATACATGATACACTTCACTGTGCTTATGGGAAGGGTTTCACCCTCTTAAAAAAAACATGTATATCTTTAAAAAATATGTAATGTATATCTAAAAAGTGCATTCTATGGTCATGTGTGATGGATGCACTCGACCCCTGACCAGCATAGATGCTATGGAGCAAGATGAACCCTCCATAATCCCCATAAGATCTCTTAATGAGCTCTCTACAGCCATCACAGAAGCTGCCTGCATACAAGCCATGCATAAATGAGAATCCACAGATATCCCAGTGTCTGCTACGATTGATTATGCGATGCTAAAACCACTACTTAGGAGCCCCAGCAGTTGTTAAACCCTTCTTAATTGCAAAATGGGATGAAACTAAAAGAAACACAGAACACAATGAGGGATTAGGTGAGAATTAACACCCCCCCCCAACTCCCTACCTGGGCAGAATTATTGCACGACATTGTAAATCATGCCCGTGAAATGGGGTGGGGCGATTCGGTAGCTGGAAAATCGGACCCAAAACCCCGAACAGGAGATCATTAAGTGAGACCAATAAAACAAACACCCCCACAGGGGACAGGCATTAGACCAAAGGAAAATCCACCCAAAGACCCACGAGCAGAGTCTCGGGAGTGGAGAAATGAACTGTGGAGGAAAGCATTGGGACTAGACATTCCCAAAGCTGCAATGCATAAACAGCCTACTGGCATTATCCTGAATCTAATTAAAGTGTTCCAGAAACGTGATGATGGTGAAAAAGGAGAGCGTACTCCAAATGCTCTGGTGCCTTCGCCAGCTCCAAGAAAGAGCGATAACGCTTTCTTCCCCCATAGGGATGGATTGCAAAGCATGAGGCCAAAAAATGAGTAATGCCAGGATGGCAACTGGGCCTGCCTGTCTGGCAAGTGGAATCCTATCAATGGATGAATAATAATGGCCCATATATTTTGATTCCAGTCAGTCCTCGATGACAACTGGTGACATTCCTAATAGATACGGGAGCACAAATTTCAGTATTAACACAACAGGATGCCGAGATGCTGGGTGTATGACCTGGACGGCAAAGAGCTAAAATCACTGGAGCGAACGGAGCTAGTGCTATATGCCAAACTGCAAAAGTTAATTTATGGCTCCCGGGCGAGAAGAGCATGTCATCTACCTGCTTTGCAGTAAAGAATCACAATGAAAATATTTTGGGCTTTGATGTTTTGAATGGCCGAACCTGTTGCCTGCCAGACGGCAGTTTATGGTCCTTCAGTTCAAATATTAACTCTAACCCCGATAAAAAATGGAAGGCTATAGTGCCTATACTCTGTGCAGCCCCTACACTCCCTGATTCCAAGATTACTAATGTACTGCAATATCTGATTTCTGCTGCGGCACAAAATGGAATTTCTGAGGTGATAGCAGACTTAGAAAAACAGCACATTATTTCCAGAAGCCACTCCCCATATAATTCACCCGTCTGGCCAGTCCAAAAGCCAGATGGGAGATGGCGTCTCACAATTGATAATCAGCAACCTAAATGCCAACACAGCTCCGCTAACGGCTGCAGTCCCTAATATTGCAACTTCAACAGCCACACTACAGGCAGCCGCACACCCATGGATGGCAGTGCTAGATGTGAAAGATATGTCCTTATGGTCCACTTACAGGAAAAAGATAAAAAGAAATTTGCTTTTACTTGGGAAGGCATACAATACACCTTTAACAGACTCCCACAGGGGTATATATATTCACCTACAATTGCTCATGCTGCGCTTGCTGAACTCTTACAGACAGTCTCACTCCCTCAAGATGTGAAACTGTACCAATACATAGATGATATCCTAATTGGAGGGACCTCCCTTGAAAAAGTGGGAGAAGCAGCAGCAACAGTGTGGCAGGCACTATATAAAGCAAAAGTTGAAGTTCCACCTGAAAAATGTCAGGGACCAAGTAGAGAAGTACAATTTTTAGGTACTTGGTGGATTGCAGGTAGTGCAGCAATTCCACCGGACACCCTAAGTAAAACAGAACAATTGCAGATGCCCCAGTCTAGGAAAGAATTACAACAGCTTATGGGTACTTTATGGTACTGGAAGAAACATGTACCTGGATTTTCTATCATTGCTCGCCCACTGTACTCACTTTTACAAAAGGGAAAACCGTGGAAATGGAAGCCAGAACATGAAGAGGCAGTCAAAACTCTAATACGGGAATTAAAGACACATCAGTCACTGGGGCCAGTACATCCCCGTGACCCTACTATAGCAGAATGGGGTTTTGCAGAACGTGGTACTTATTGCAATCTATTCCAGACCGGGCCGAGCGGGCCAAAAAGACCTTTAATGTTTAGCTCGACTGCATTTAAAGAGACAGAACAGAGATATTCCAAATGGGAAAAGAGACTTTTGTCTTTAGTCCAAATAGTTAAACAAGTTGAGAAAATACACCAGGGGCAACCTGTTCAGACTAGAGGGCCATTTAATTTACTAGAAACAGTCCTAAAGGGAACTGCTCCCCCAGAAGGAATTGCACAGAAACCCACCACCAGAAAACAGTATGCCTACCTGATGGGAGTAGCAGATGAAATGCAATTGACTGAAGGACGTACAAAAGTTTCCATAGAATCATAGAATCATAGAATAGTTTGGGTTGGAAGGGACCTCTAAAGGTCATTTAGTCCAACCCCCCTGCCGTGGGCAGGGACATCTTCAACTAAATTGAGTTGCTCAGATCCCCATCCAACCTGGCCTTGAAATTCCAAATTACAAATGCCTATAAACACCGACCCTTGCAAATTACAAATGCCTATAAACACCGACCCACTAGCACTGAAACAGCCATTTAAACCACCAATTCTAAATGCACACCCCCTCACTGAGAAAACACCGACTGAAGGCATTTGGTTTATGGATGCCTCAGCAACAAGGGTAAATGGCAAATGGCGGTATAAAGCCACCATATTAGAAATTACCACTGGCAAACAGGTAATAGAAGGTGAAGGTAGTGCACAAGTAGGAGAACTAAGGGCAATTGTCCTAGCAGCACAAAATGGAGCAAAAGTTATCTATGTCGACTCCTATGCCATGTGGGCAGGTGCCACACAATGGATTTGTCAATGGGAAGCCCTAAATTGGGAAGTAAATAGATCCCCAGTTTGGAGAACTGAAGACTGCCAATTATTATTAGATATAGCTAGACAAACGCCATTTAAGAAAGGGTGGGTAAAAGTCCATGTAAACAATGACCAACCAGCCACAAAATGGAACCAACAAGTAGATGAATTAGCCAGAATTAGGGGAATAAAAACAGGAGATATGCTAGGTCTTGAATGGTACCGACTGGGGGAATGGTTACATCAGAAATTGGACGACACAGGCTGAGAAGCACTTTATTTTGCAGCCCAAAGCCAAGGTTGCATCTAAACAGGAAAACATGTGAAACCATCCTTACAGAATGTCCCCAATGTAAATTGAAATTGCAAATGGATCACACTGCTAAAACACCACCCCTACACATTAGTAAAGGAAAAACCCTGTGGTCAACATGGCAAACTGATTACATTGGACCCTTTAAACCCTCCTTGGGATATCGGTACATCCTCACAGGAGTAGAGGTTGTCTCAGGCCTAATTATGGCCACTAAATGTCGAAAGGCTAATGGTCAGAGCACCATTAGAGGATTATCTTCTTTGTTCTTAGGCCTACCAACCCCTGATGTCATCCAAAGTGACAACGGCTCACATTTTTCCAGCAAGGAAGTGCAAGAATGGGCAAAAGAGGAATGGGTATTCCACACCCCATATTATCCTCAATCAAATGGGATGGTAGAAAGAGCTAATGGTTTATTAAAAAGGAGCCTTAAGCCACACGAGGCCCAGTGGGTTATTCGACTTTCCAAAGAACTACATCAATTGAATAATCGGTATGGGCCTACTGGGAGCCCCATGAGCCGAGCATTCTTTGCAAAAGCCGATTCTGATATTCTCCATTCTAATGAGAGAGAATATCCGATAGCATTACAGCCAGGACAACCTGTCATGGTAAATTTACCACAAATTGGAACTGTACCTATGACTCTAACTAAACCTCGTGGCCCACTTGCCTGGGAAGCTACTGACAGCAGTGGTGCAAAAGATGAGATAGAATTAGTGCACGGTGGATTTTTCCTTCTTCTTAACGGGGTAACCTGTTCGGACTCCCCCACCGAAACAAGTCTTTATTCTCTCTTACAGCACCCTGCAGGATGGCAGACAGAAATGCTGTGTTCTTATTAGTCCAAACCCTGACAATGCTGCTCCTCCTAACCTGTGGCCAAAAAATCCTAGAATGGCCACGGTCTCAAGCTCATACTGAGTACGACAGGAGTATGGGAACACACGCTAACAGAAGAACGGTTGGACTCGATGATCTTAGAGGTCTTTTCCAACCTTAATGATTCTATGATTCTAAGAAATTTAAATCTTTCTACTGTGGTCATAGAATCATAGAATCATGCACGGAACTGAAGTATACTTAGAAAATGAGTGGAGCTGATATAAAGATGAAGCTTATGGCAAAGTTGCCCTACTTCGGGGAACAGCAGGGGAAGAGATTAAAATAGGATGCTGGATGATCAATGGGTCTACCCATGAGAAGGCATATGAGATTTCTGTGTACAACATTACATCAAACCCAATAACAAAGGATATAAAACTTAGCACCTCTGAAAGATTGTACTGTTGATACAATTTTACATTAATACAGCCTGTTTTCATAATCTGCATCTGGGCTCGCAGGAACGTCGGACTATCGTTTCACTTCAAAATAGATGTTACTGAATCTAGTACAACAACATCCACCGCTCCTCACTCAACATCCACTCCAATTGTAAAGGATAAGGAAACTCTATCCCCATAAATTTCTAAAATTGAACCCTATGCTCTCAAATATACAGGCCAGCAGCAAGTGCTATTTAATCACGGTTCCTCAAACGAGTGGAACTATTAATGCAGGTTAATATCTCTGCAATTAAACCTACCTGCTCACCATTCCTGCATACATCTTATACAGGATGGTTAGCATGGGTGCACGGATGAACCCTCACCTCTCCAAAACGATCAAGGAGAGATGTGACTGGCATCCTGGGGACAGGACTAGGAGTATTAAATAGCATAGACGCTGAAGTATTAGCATGCAAAACAAGCTCAGTAACAAGTAATTTACACAAATTAGAATATCCATTGCAGTCTTCTCTATCAGCATTAGGAACTAACCAATGGCTCTTATCTGATATATTACCTCAATGGGAAAGAGTTAATAAAGTGCCACCAACTAACTGTGAATGCAGTTCATTCTGCATAGGTGCAGCCCGAATTAACGTCTCTCTCGCTCTTAGTTGTATTCAGGCTCAACTGTGGGTACAATCTACTGTGGCAGCAATTGTGAGAGAAGGTGAAGAGGGCACCTTACCCACTGAGATTTGAAAAGTAATTTGGGACAATGCGACTGAATTTGAAAGGGAATTCCAATCCTGGTGGTGTCTAGTTAATTTCACTTATGACCCCACCAACAGTAAAGCCACAGCTTTTGTTTTAACAATACGCAGTGCTTTGGTATACACCATATACACAATCATTGCGCTGGGATTAAATCACCATGGAACTGTCCTCTACCTGTTAGAACACAGAGTGTGGGCCCAACAAAATGGGAACAAATGGCAAACTATCGATGTTGATGCATGTATTGTACGGGAACAACAGGGATTTATCTGTGAAAGTAATACCATTAAGGCCCAAGACATTTATCTTGACGCTGAACAAAATGTTTGTCATTTTGAAATACATCCTGATGAAACCCCTGAAACTGTACTTATATATGTTGGAAATGGATGTGTTTGTATGAGAACTCTTTGTGATTCTGTATTTATAGACAACACCACTATATAGACAAATAATCACTCAAACATCTGTATTTGCAATTTTACCAAAATTATGGGATGTGACTTTAACTATTCAGCTCCTGTCACAACACACCAACTGCTACAATCTAACTGTACATTGCATCAATATCTGTTGCCTACCCCCACTGGAATGAATCTCACATTGGTGAGAAAACTGCTGCAACATGATGAACTGAGTCAACTGTTAAAACAAATTTGGAACAACAGACAAAGGACCCTAATTACCGTCCATCATGATGCAGAGAAGATACACCAAGTCCTAGAAAGAGTGAAGAAAGATGGAGAACATCACTGGTGGGAAACTCTTTTTGGATGGTCACCAACAGCAACTGGAATTTTGAATTTAATGTTGCATCTAATTGTAGTTTTGTTAGTTTTAACCTTATTAAGTTTATTGCTTATAATCATTCTGTATATCAAAGTTTGGCAAAAAATGAAACAAATTACATCAATCCAGGATGTAGGATGTATAGAATAACCAGATTCTGTATGTAAAATGGTATATAACTAACATTAATTATGACACTTAAACCAAACAGCTTATCAAATAATTGGACTCTTACTACTGATCTGCAATACACCACATATTTATGACATAGAGGCAAGAGGTAACCATACTACCACTCCATGAGTCAATAAAGTGGATTGACTGTAGTCATGGGGAGGAGTGTGACGGGTGTGCTCAACCCCTGACCAGACTGGCGGTGGTTTGGTGCAGGCTCTGGAAGGGGTAAAGGCCTGAGCTGTAGCCAGGCCATGAACTCCCCTAGTTTCAATCTGTTCTCTGAAAACCCACAAAGGAGCAGAGTGACCCAGTGAGCATCGATGGATATAAGCTTGGAACACCGATGATGCGACTGACACATGAGTAGTGGGTGGCTTTTCCAAGACTCATTATCAAGGAACAAAGATTGTTGTGGGTACAAGGAGTCTCATGCATAC